AACAAAATAAAACTAGTGGGGTTCATGTGTTTTCTTTTTGAATTTTTTTTTTTTGAGAGAGAGCAAACGAGTGTGCTGGTGGGGAGGGGCAGAGGGGGAGGGAGAGAGAATCTCAAACAGAATCTGGGCTGAGTGTGGAGTCCAATGCGAGGCTGGATCACAGGACCCTGAGATCATGACCTGAGCTGAAATCAAGAGTCAGATGCTTAACCAACTAAGCCAGCCAGGTGCCCCCATACGAGTCACTTTTATTTTTGACACCACTTGTGTGAAACAGAAGATAGAGCCATAGAGCTATAGGGTCTGTTCGTGTACCCTGTCTTTATTTCTTCCAAACATCCCAAACGAGTCAATTAAAAATACTGACAAAAAGGCACAAGGTAATATATTTTTCATCTTTAGATTTGCCCTCCAGGATCCACCAAAAATACATGCCAAGCTGTATTCCCTAGAACAGCAGATCTCAAACCTTAACACAGAAGAACCCCTGGGAGCTTGTGCATACTGCAGATTTCCAGGCTGGGGCTGGGAACTGACATTTCTAACAAGGTCTCTTGTATTTTCTAAGTCCGCTGACATTTGATTGAAAGGCTGCACCATGGCTCTGCCAAGGACTGGGTGGGAATCTCTCCTGATGGTACCTATTCTACTTAACTCTCATTTAGAAGAAAAAGAGGGTGGAAAGAATGCACAAGAAATGGGTTGTGCTTTTTCCATTCACAGCTGTGTCCAAATCTTATGCACATATGAGGGCTTCTTCTAGGCTTTAAAAGTTCGACCCCCGAAGTTTGCTGGTTGACCTGTTGTCCTGCAGTTACCCTGGGGTAGTGTAACCGGTTTGAGAAGCAGCCTGTGACTGTTTCAATTTCAGTTGAAGTTCCTTATAAAACTAGTCAATCTGGGAGGTCATTTGTCTTTGATCCAGAGGCAGTGGTTTGGTTATTCTTGGCTTACATTAAACTTGGAAGGGAACTGAAGCATCAGGTAAAAACAATCTACACCTACGCAGCATGAAAAAAAAATCACAGCTCTACACACGAGTGTGGACAGATCCCACAGAAGCAAGCATCCATTTACCTGAAGTTCAAGGACAGGCAACAATGACCTGCAAGGGGTTATTTTCAGAGGGTTATTGCCTGCTGGAGGGTTGGCACAAAGAGCCTTCTGGGGCGGCGGTGATCAGGAATTGTTCTAAGTCATGATCTGGAACCCACATAGGGTGTACATACATACATACAATCATTGAGCTTGATGCTTAAGCTGCGTGCATTTTACTGTATGTATACTATGATACCTACTTTTTTAAAAAAGATGATGGGTGGTGTAGTCAGTTAAGCATCTGACTCTTGGTTTCAGCTCAGGTCATGATCTCAGGGTCGTGGGATTGAACCCCATGTTAGGCTCTGCACTCTGCACTCAGCTCAGAATCTGCTTGATAATCTCTCTCCCTTTCCCTCTGCACCTCCTGCTCGCACACATGTGCTCTCTCATTCTCTCTTTCTCAAATAAATAAACAAATCTTAAGAAAAAAAAAGATGATGGGCAGTCCACCAGGGAAGAAAAAAATCTACAGCCTATCCATATAGCGAGTGCAAATTGCCAAACAAATGCAGACAGTGGGCAAAAGGAAAATAAAAAATTGGAAACTATCATAAAATGAGCAGTTTCTTTTAACTCCAGTTGTAAACTGAACACTTAAAATAACGTGAGCCCCACCTTGCAGACGGGGTGCTCTCAAATGCCTCAGGACGTGCAATGTGGACTCACACACACACACAGGAGTGATTATTTTGTGTTCTTCAAAATGCTGACAGCCCAGGAAGAGTCTAAAGGAGCAGTTTTACTGGCTTTCAAGAAAGGCAGCTGGTAAGAATGGGGAGGGAAACAAGAGTCAGGCTTTCCAGGATACACCTGGGGTTTTGTCCAAATCTGGGTGGCTGCACGGGCACAAGGGGACATGTCCGCAGGTCAAGGGCCGCGGGTCAGTTCAGTCAGTGCTGTAGTTTACCAAGGTTAGGTGGTGGCAGGAGGCCTGGGGAACGTGGAAGGAGTACTGTACCTGAGGACTGCTCCAGAAACATTCCATGGAAGAGCCTCTCCCTTTTATCCCCCGACCCGCCAACATTTGGCTTTATTGTGCTTAAAAGTTTTCTGTGAGGGGTGCCTGGCTGGCTCAGTCTGTAGAGCATGCAACTCTTGATCTCAGGGTCGTGCTTTCAAGCTCCGCATTGGGTGTAGAGCTTACTTAACAAAAATAAAGTAAAAGAGATGTAAAAAGGTTTTCTGTGAACCTCTGGTGGTCTTTCCTTTTTGCTTGGGCCATGTCTCCCTGCGTTAGGGTGCAGCCCTGGTGAGTACCTCAGCCAGCAAAAGTGGCCTCTGATTTTCTCGTTTCTTCCCATCCTTCCTTCTCATTCAGTGGTTTGTCTGACACAACTGGCATTGGTGTTATGGAGATAGGACCTTGCTTTGTTGTGGAAACTGCTCTGTCGGGGCTGGGTGCTGTGGGCGAGGGGAGGCTGGAGACCCGGAAGGAACACAGGAGGGCCCAGAAGCTGCTGGTTGTCTGGGTGCAGATAAGGCCCCACTCACTGGCTGATGTAAGAGCTCTCCTGGGCTGAGCATCAGCGAATGTGGTCATGGGAGGCTTTTAATTCTTTGTTATAAAGGCAGAGCTAGGAGAAAGATGAATCACTTCTGTGCCCCTGCATCAGGCCCAATGTCTTTACACAGAACGGCAACTGTAAATGTGGATGGGAGGTAAAAACAGGGCACGCATGGTGACCCCCGGCACCTAGCCCCGGGTGGGGAGGTGCCTGGCTCATCCCTGGAAGGGTGAAGGCCCCAGCGCATCCCGGGCTGATGCCTCTCTTTCCAAGCACGCTAATCCTCAGACTGACATAGCAGGGCCTGGAATTTTCTCTCTAAGGCTCCCAGCACAAAAATGTGCAAACAGATTAAGAAATAAAAGGCAAAAGCTACCTCGGGATTGATGACAATCCTGATGGTGAAAGATAAGTAGCACATTATTATTTCAGCTCCTGCTTCTAACAAAATTCAATTTTGGGAAGGGGGGGCTTCTGAAAACCAGGAAAGAACAAGTAGGAGAGAAACAGCTGTTTTCCTTGGAAGAGGAGCCCACTGGGGTCTGCCTCCCTTCCCCAGGGCTGACAGAAGACTTAGGAGTCTGCTCTCCCCCCCCCCCAAGTTTGCCTGTTGGAGAAGAGGGTCTTCCCTGACCCAGGAAGAAACCTTCCCTCTCCTTCCTGCAGAGAAGCCATTGCCTCCGGGTGAGCTGGGGCCCGGGGGGGGGGGGGGTGCATGAGGGACCCACTTGCTGAAGGTGCTATCAGGCTGGGGAACAGATTTCCCCATTTTTCTTCCTGGGTGGTGATTGGCTGCTCAGGGGTCTTTGTTTTACTCCAATACCCTCTTTGCTCTGAAATGTCACAATGAATATTAACTCAAAAGTCATTTCTATGTGCCCCAGGAGTGAGCTCTCTGTCCCTGTCTCTCCCTCCTGCCCTGTTTCCTCCTTTCACTCACTGCAGGTGCTGGGAGGATTTCTAGGGAATGGCCAGTTCCTGGTCTCTCCTCCCTGCTCCCTCTCGGATACCTCTTCCATCACCGGATTACACAATTTCTGGTGCCTGTGGCCATTTCCCCCCTGCCCTCCCCCCCAAGCTCGTGTTTGTGCCCCAGCCCAATTAGTTCCAGCTTTCCTCATTCACTTTTATTTTTCCTATTTACACTATTTGAGTGTCTTCCCTAGTTAGCTGAAGGAAAGACAGCATGTTCTGCACTCCTAACCTTCCATTTCTGTGTCTCTGAACATTTGAGAGAGGTAACACCACTGGAGAAATCCCCCCCCCCCCACTCCAGCCTGGAGGAACTTACATAGTTTTAAATCCCCCTCAGTACCTGGGAACCAAAGCAAAAGAACAACCACACCGGCATCACAGGGAAGGTGCTCTGTGTGTCTGGGAAAATGTCAAGCTGAGAACAGGAGTAAATAAATGACATGCCCAAGAAGCAAGAGTCTTCTAGTCTCTGTGAGTGAAATGGTCCCTCTGTGGAAAGGAAGCCACCTTTGAAGGTTTGCTTTGTCCTTTGCTGTGACCCTGCTAGGGACCCTTAGGCTGCCTCACTCAAGGACAGTGCCAGGTGCCCCCCCTTCCTTCAGCCACAGCATTGGGTTGGGTCCAGTGCGATCGGGGAGTGAAGTGTGAGCAGGGCCAGCGGGGGGAGCCAGGACACCCCAGTGAGCCAAGAGCCTCCAGAGAGTCCGGTTCCCAGGTCCAGAGCCTGGCGCGCAGGGGATCCCCACAAGGGGGCGGAGGGAAACCCAGGAGGCCCGCGGGAAGAGGCGCGGCCAGGGGCTGGGCGCGCGCAGCCGAGCGCACTCGCGGCCTCTCCGCTCAGGGCAGAAGGTGGGGAGGGGGCTGAAGAGACCCTCGGTTTCTCCGAAGTTTCGGGCGATTCCTTCAGCCCGGAGACCCGCCTCCCGGTGGCGTGCTCCCCAAGAGGGGGCCTTCTGCGCTGGCCCCCTCCCGCCCGGCCCCGCACGGCCGAAGGATCGCGGACCGGGCTCCCTCCCCAGCTCAGTCTCCTCCCCACGCGCCCCCTCTCCGCCGCGCCGGCCAGCGCGGGCTGCGTCCCCGGCACTGCCCCCCGCCCGCGCCCGAGCCTGAGCCGCCGCGGCGCCGCAGGCTGCGGGAGCTGCGCCGCTCGTGCTCCCGCCTCGCCAGTGCTCCCGACGCGCCCCGGCCCCGCTCGCCCCGGCTCCCCGCTCCCCGCGCGCGGACCATGGAGTGAGGGGGCGGGCGGCCCCGCGACGCGCTCCCGCAGCCGGCGAGGCCGGAGCCAGCCCGGGTGGCCTCGCCAGCCGGCGGAGTTGGCCAGCGGCGGGCCCTCCTCCCGCCGGTCCTTCCCCGCTCCTCCTCCTCGGCCGCCGCCGCCCCCGCCTCCCGGCCGCCCCCGCCGCCTCCGCCGCGCCGCCGCCCGAGGCCGAGCGCGGACGCCGAGCGTGGGAGCCATGGCGCGCGAGGAGGAGAGGGACCCCGAGCGCCGGGAGGCGGCGGCGCGGGCCAGCGGCGAGGAGGAGGAGGAGGAGGGCGAAGAGGGACTGAGCGACAGCGACGACGAGGACGAAGACGACGAGCCCGGCAGCGGCGGGGAAGAGGAAGAGGAGGCGGCGGCGGCCGAGCGGGAGCGCAGCGAGGACGCGCGGCTGCAGCGCGCAGGGTTGCCTCCCGCCGCCGTCCCCGCCGCGGCCGCCCGCGACAGGAGCGGCCGCCGCCCGCCGGGGCCCCAGCCGGGGCCGCTACCCTGCCGCCCGAGGATGCCGTCGCCCGACGACGAGGACCGCGAGCGTCGCCGGAGCCGCCGGAGGGACCTTCTGCTGAGCCAGCTCTGCTTCCTGGCCTTGGTGGCGCTGCTGCTCTGGTCGCTGTCGAGCATGCAAGAGCATAATGGTGAGTGCTCGCGGCTCGCCCCGAGTGGGCGCTGCGGCTCCGGGAGCTCGGGGCTCCCGGGCCGGGCTCGGGGCGAGCAGGCTGGCCGGTGGGAGGGGGTTCCGGGCACGAGGACTCCCCCTGCCCCTTGGAGGGGCTCAGGAGGAGGGTGCCCTGGAGGCGAGGACCGCGCAGTAGAAACGCGGCCGGCACGTGGGGCCGCCCGGCTGGCCCCGGGAACACTTACCTGTGCCTCTTGGCTCTATCCTTCTGACCAACCGGCTGGAGGGACTGGTGGTAGAGGCGGCGGGGGCTGTTACCCTAAAGAAGCGCCCCCCCCCCCCCCAGGCCAGCAATAAAGTGGTCCTGATTAAGATTCGGTACCTGTGCAGGTAACCGCCTGTATACCTTTGGCTTGTTGCGGGCACGAAGGGGGCTGGTTGACTGGCCAGAACACGTAATTCTCCAGTGTTCCCCACACAGAACAGGCGGTATGTACCAGGTAGAGAGCTCCATACCCACTTTTCCAGAACAGGTGCCCGGAACTTCGGGTAGGAAAAAAAGTGTTGGTCACCTGGCTAGGGCTTAGGAATGTACTTGTTCTCTTTCACTGACCACTCACTGGGAAGGCTGATCCCTTTTGTGCACTTGTAATTCTGGAAGAAATGATTTAGATTGCCCTGCCCATCACGCTGTCGACTGCTCTTATGGTGCCCTGCAGTGGGTCTGCCCTTTACCCACAACTTTTGTCTTATCTTTGTCCTTGGCTTTTCTTGAGCTGAAATAGACCTTGTGGAGAAATGTGCTCAGAACAGTTGTCCACTGAAAACAGTTTGGACCCTGGGGGGCAGCTGTCTAAATAACGGAGGGAGAGACTTGGAAGAATAACTGTTGTAAAAACGGTTTTATATCCCAGCCGTTCAAGTGGCACAGTTCGTGGGAAAACAGCCGTAAAAATGGTTGTGAGAAAAAGCCGTTACAAATACGTGCTTTGGTGTTAAGATAGATGTAGCTCTGATACGAAGCGTTAGGAAGTGCAGAATAAAAGCCTTTTGATAGTGATGGTAAAAGGGTGGCATCAATTAAAAAAGGGATCTCCCCCAAATTGGCTGGTCTCATGCTTCCGGGGGGAAAGCATATGGTCGGGCTTGGTTCAGGTCTTAACAGACCTCTTGACAGACTTCCTCATATAGAGTAATATGAGAAAGTCTGCCCAGGTCTTCAGTGGAGCCGTTGGGACTCCACAGCTCTCTCCCTTTCTCCTGAATCCCAGATTATCTGGTGATGGGGACTGACATCGGGAAGGGGGCTGTGCTGGGGAGGGAAGCTGGACCTCTCTCGGAGGGCAGTGCCAGACCTGCCAAAAGCAGCTTCTGACTGATTCTCACGAGGAGGGTTTTCTTTCACCTCTCTTTAATCTACCGGATTTTTATGAGTGCAAAGCCAGTCTGTACTTGATGCCACCTTTGGAAAGGACCATGCGAAGTCAATTACATGCCGGCCATTTTTCCTGCGTGCTGGGGCTCTGTGAGTCCTAGAGTTTCCACCACTGTCAGGCTATAAAAGACGTTTTTCTGGATGGAGAATGTGACCCATACAGTTAAGTCCATCAGTGGCAGGGGGCTGCCTGGGCCCTGGGAAAGCTGGGATGTTCAGGGAGAAAGGGGGTGGCAGACACTCTGTAAACTTGAAACCTGGTGACTTGAATGTCATTTTGAAATGGTTTCCTTAGCAGTGACATTTCTTTTCAGGTGCCACCAACTCTGGACTTAGTTCCATAGCACAGCTCTTTTCCCTGTCCCTTCCCTTGATCTCTCTCCTCCCATATTCTTTCTGCCTCTCTCTCCCCTCCCATAAATGTAGGGCTTCAGAATACCCCTACCCCAGCAACTGGCAGTAATAGTGAAAAGCTAGCAGTGTGAAGGGGGATGCCATCCAGGCCTCAGATGGCATGCCAGTCCTAATTCTGTCCCTAGTCACCTTTTCTTCAGGTAGATACTTATAATTTCATTATATGACGCCTAGCTGATTCTCAGCAAGGCTCAGGTTTTTTGAGCTATTTTTTTTGAGCTAATTAATTAATGTGTGTGAATCTGCAAGTGATCATTTAGCTTGGGGGTTGTCATTTAGCAAACTTAAGCATTTGAATAGTGACTTTTACCCTGGAAACTTGGGTGCTATTCTACTTAAGGGTCCTTTCAGTATGGATAAAAAGTTTGGAATTTAGCCTTGTTTTAAAGACACTGTGTCTGGGAGAGGCTGAGTGATTCGCTTAAGGTCACACAGCAATTGAGGAGTAGAGGGAGGAACCAACCTGAGGTGGCCTGGCTCTTTGATCCCACGTCTGTTCCCTGGTATTCATGCCACCATCTGGGTGCAGCTTTGTAATATTTATATAACCACATGGGGGGTACCTTGCTAATGATCAAAGGGGGATATTTTTATTTATTCCCCTTGAAAGCCATGCAGTGATTAAATGTAACTTCTCAGAAGCCTGTTTTCTAACACATATTGATTTTTCTTTTTTTATAAAGAGGACAGTCCTTTCACCAAACCAAAGTAGAGAAGCGTGGAAGTTGGGTTACACAGTGTTGTATAACATTTCTGATCGTATGGAATCTGAGCTCCCTTTCTGGACATCTGACCGAACTCCAATATAGAGTCCTTTCTGCTGATATGGGATGCAAGCATTATTAAAGGAAGGGTTAGTGCTGGAATCAAGACAAAGGTTAACCCTCAGGGCAGCAAAAGCAGTAATAATAACTGGAACTTGGTGGGCTTTTAAGTGCCAGGCACTGTGCTAAAACAAGGACGTTTTATGTGCATTGCCTTATTTAAGCTTGCACACACTCTGCTGACGTTTGAGCGTTCGGTGGTAGAGGAAGCAAGAGGGCCTAGGTGCTCTCTTTAGTTGTTGCTGATAAAGATCTCATTTTCCATCGGTTTTCAAAGCCAATTGAAATAAGGTGTCAGATTTGCTAACAAGGGTTTTCTTCTCTTTTTCTTGTTTTTACAGTGAGAATGGATTACTTGTGTGTGTTTTGAGTGGTTTGAAAGTGTTTAATTTTTCTTTGAAGTAAGGAAACTGGTCCCCCTTTTTTCCAGAAGTTGTGTGAAAAAAGCCCAGAGGTTCTAACTCAGCAGTGGTTATAGACATTCCCTCTAGAAAGTTCTTGGGTAGGTGAATAATGAGTAAGGGAGAAATATATATATGTAATATATATAGTTCAAAGTTTATATACATACATACACACACACACACACACACACACACACACATATCTGGTCCAGTTACTATTGCTAATAACAAATTACCCCAAAATATAGTGGTGTAAAACTACCATTTTATTTTTTTGCTCATGGATACTTTGGACAGGGTGTAGTAGGGATGGCTTATCTCTGCTCCATGTCTGGGGCCTCAGCTGGAAAGAGTGCAAGGCTGGGTGACTTGACAGCTGGGTTGGCAGTCATCTGGAGGCAACATCACTCCCGTGTCTGGGGTTGATGCCCACTGTTGGCTGGACCCTCAGCTGGGCTATCAACCAGAACACCTATATGTGGCCTCTCCATATGGCTTCTCCATGTGCCTTAGTTTGAACTTCCTCATAGCACAGCAGCTGTGTTCCAAGAGGTTAAAGTGGAAGTGCACAGCATTTTTCTGTCTTAGCCTCCAAAATGACACGGTATGACTTCCACTGTTTTCTTTTGGCCAAGACAGTGACAGATGTCAACCCAAGTTCAAAAAGGGGTGACAGAGAAACCGCCACTTACTCAGTGGAGGAGCATCAGGGTATATCGTAAGGCAAGCAGATGGGTATGTGTGTTGGTGTGTAACATGGGCATGTGTGTTGTGGCTGTCTTTGGAAAACCAGGGGTCCAAGGGATAATAACTTACAGATCAGAGACATTTCCCAAGGTGGTAAATGGTGAATAATACATGCATATTTGAAATACCTTCCAATCATGATAACGTGGCAGTGCATCTGAAGTCAGGTATGGGGTCCACAGGTGGTATTTGGAAAGAGGGCCGTGTGGGTGTCTGAACTGCAAATTTCCGTTGCAGATCTGAGAGCACATCTTTAGCTTTGTGGCTTCCTCTTCCTCAGAGGACAAAGACCACAACCTCTCGATCCCTCCTGTGGCTGACAGGGAGATGCCTTGCTGGATTCTCCAGCTTTATCTTCCCTCCCTGCCTTCCCTTCCATGCTTTGCTACTTCGGCCTTTCTTCTGCTCCTGAAAAGGGTGACACTTCTTCTAGTCCCAGACCTGCCACACATGCTGTTCCACAGTCACCATCACAGCAGTTCATCCTTCACCTCCAGGCCCAAGATCTTCCTGACCTGACTAGATCCCCTGTTTTGTTCTCTGAACACCCTCAGTTTTCCCTTCATAGCATTTATCACAGTTGGCAATTATGTATTTATTTGGTTTTGGTTTGAGTAATCTGTCCTGTTCACCAGATTCTAAGCTCCAGGAGGTCAGGGACCCTGTGACCTTTGCTCACCTTTGTCATCTGTGCCACCCGCCCACAGTAGATGCTCAAAAGATGCTTGTTGAGTAAAAAAGCTGTTTTGATTTCTGAACTACAGGACCTGTGTTAAAAACTAGTTACCATGCCTCAGGAGCTCAGTTACTGGCATACATTTTAATCTCACAATTTAGAATTCTGCCCCCGTCCATCAAATTCAGTGTTGTTACCCATTTTTCATGGGCTAACACGGAGCTGTGGAATGTGAGTGCTTTGCCTGGTGTCACTTCATTAAGTGGCAGGATTTGAACGCAAGCCCATTTGCATCCAAGCTGGATGCCACTGCATTCCCTAGCCTCAGCTTAGGAGGACATGAATAGAAAATGGGAATCACGCTGCCTTTTTCAGTCGACTAGGGAGAGTAAAGGAGTAACAGAAGGTTGCTTTCATAGAAGCAGTATTTTAGAAACACATTGCTTTTCAACCTTTTCTATTTTCTGCCTAAACATATATAGATGTGTCTCTCCTGGCTTTTCTTAGCTGCTCATCAAC